TTCCAGCCTGATGCCCTGCTCCGTATGCCTCTCTCTGGCAGTCCTTGTCATGGAGCAATGATCCCTTTGTGGGTTTCAAAGAGAGGCAGAAATGGAGTGGAAATGTTGCGCCATTTGCTTCTGTGCTCTGTGCAGATTTTCTGAAGAGTGTCCAGATTGCTCACTGCAATCAACTACCCTTTATTCACTGATGTTAGGGGAAAACAGACATATGAGGTATTCATGTCACGAGCATCATGTGGCTTTTATGCCTTCTCTTCCAAGGCAGCTAGATTGCTGAAGGCCAAATGGCACTCTGAGATACACTGCTGTAAATCACAAGCATTTCACCAGTCCTGCAGTGCAGAGTGAGCAGAATCAGGCTCTCCCACCCAAGACACAGTATTGGTGGGGATGTAGCTGGAGACTTACATTTGTTTGTAATTAGGTGCTGGCACTGAGAAAGCCCTGAAGTCACCATGGTCTCTGGGCAACAGATAAAGCTTTTGTTTTTTCACAGACAAAAGGCAGAGCAGGCCAAACCAACACAGAGTGTGTGAACACTGGGAAGCCTGATGAAAAGCTATAAAGAATGTCCAAAGTCAGCAACAAATAATATGGCAGCAGGAAAGAGAAATCTTAGAGTAGTTAAAAGTGAAGAAGGAGAGAGGGGAAGGGGAGGGAGAGGAGGGGAGGAGTCAGGATGGCTGGGTGCCCAAAACAATGATACACGGTGTGAGCACTGCTAGGACTCACATGAGAGCAAGCCATGTGGGAACTGTGCAGAGCGAGCTGCACAGCTCAGACCTACTCATCTCCTGCCCGCAGAGCATCCCTCTTCAGGCTTTATCACTTGTAACTGAATGACTGGGAAGCCTTGCTTCTCCTTGTCACTTCTTCATTATCTTTTTACATTACTCCACCCCTCCAAGGAACTGAAATACTTTCTGTTGACCAAATCTTGCATATGGTAAAAGAGGTGAATGTGAAATTAGATGATCTGTACTTATGTACTTGCTTGACAAGCCATCCTGCTTCTGGTGTGATGCTTCTCCAACACCCAGCGAAGAGATATAGACTTGCATTGCTTGCAACATGTATGTTCGATTAAGAGCCCTGAAGAGCAGATCTTCGACCATGAAATCTATCAGGTAGGGATGGTCTTTATCATTCTGTTTGTGCAACTCCTGCACAGTGGGGCCATGTCCCAGTTATAATGATGATGGACAGAGAGAAAAATCACACTGGGAGATGGGATGCAAGAGTAGAGTAGTGCAGGCTTGTACAATAGATACATTCTGGAAATGCCCCTGCAATCTTCCTCCTTTCTTGGCAAGATGAAATGTCTGCTCTGGAGATTCCAAGGGGTGGGGAGGAGTGCCAATCCCCCATTAACAGGACTGGGGTAGATTGCTTAGCAGGCAATAATGCAGGTAGAAGAAACACTGGAAAAACCATACTGAGACAAGTTACTATGAGGAACTTAATTTTGAATGTGGACACTTAGCATGATGGTAGTCATCCAGCTGCTGTTGTGACCATAGATCTGGCATACAGGGTTTGATGCCTGTTTGCATTCATAGTATATATATATTGAAAGGAAGAAGTATTTCCTCTCTTTTTTCTCCTTCTTTTCCAAATATTTTATGCAGAACTATTTTACTAGTGCTCTGCCCTGTGGGAAGGCTCTAATTTAGAAAACATGGACCAGGCTATGCAATGGGGCTCAGCATTTGATCACATAAGCAGTCTTCCCTTTGCATAGGAATTATACAGTGTAGTCTGAAGTATTTTAAGTGTCTCTGGTACTCAGAGGCAAATAGATATCGTGTGCTAGATATTAAACCTATAGTGGTTGTACATATTGCTGTGGTACTGTGTATGGAAGGACGTGGCAATTTGGGTTTTATTACGCACTCTGAACAACATCCAGAGAGTCTTTTCTATTCAGATTTGCTGTTTTTACAGGCAACATGCAAACACATTTCACCACAGCCAAAATCTTCTTCCAAACACTGCAATAAATCACATGGCATGCTAGCCAGCTGGAAGTGATTGCAGACCTTTGGGGTGGAAGAATCACACACGTTTTGGAGGATTCAGTTAGCTACAGCAGCATTTTAAACCTCTGTCCTCCTGTTCTTAGTTTGTATTCTTCTATCTCTCAACAGACTGTGCTAGACTTCACACTCCATCCAAGCCACGGTGGTCTGGCTTGGGTTTGCTGAAAGCATAAAGCACCCTCTTGGTTCTGCCAGCTCACAGAGCCAGTGCATCAGGGTTCAGCTCTCTGTTTGCTGGCAGTGGGAAGGAAGCAATAACAGGTCACTGTTTTTCCTCAGCAGCTACCATGAGGAATGCCTGGCTGTGGAGGGAGGTGCTGGACAGCATGTGAGCTGAGGACACGCTGATGTGCCAAAAGATGGTGCTGTGCCAGGCAGAGGAAGAGAGATTGGACTTCACAGATGGGCATTAGCCAAACAGCTCCACAGCAGCAGTCAGACAGCTCCTCTCTGAAAGGACCTTGGAGCCTGCTCTGATACAGTGACTGCAAAGGACAGAAAGCAAACGTTCTACCACCCCTTTTAGAGACTGGAAATAGATGACTGGCCCTAGCCAGAGAGCACCAAGAATGAGGAAGCAGGAAGGTGTTGATGACTGGCAGAGACTGCCAGATGGCTTTAAGTCACCAAGACTTGTCACTTGAGCTGTTGCAACTGGGATTGAGAAGAAAGAGGATGTCCTCAAAGAGCCAGAGGAGAGGATGAAGGACAAATAAGAGCCAGAGGAAAATAGAGACAAAGGAAGAAACTCAGAGAGTTCCTATGAGAAAAGATCACCACTGTGAGCACTCCTGCCAGGGGGGACCTATGTGAACAGACACCCCTCCCAGAGTCAGGGTGTGCATGGACCAGGGACAGAGCTGCAGCTTTCTCTTACTGCCATGCCTCTGCCCCTCCAGCTGGAGAGCAACCTTCATGACCAGAAATAGAGGCTTTTTACCCCAAAACTGTCTCCTGTGTAACAGCAGGAGCCATCCTTAGCCTCAGTCCAAGTAGATCTGGGATATCTGATGATGTACTGGTGTTATTAATCACAGACAGGCTGAGGAATGCTCCCTTGGAACTGGGGTTTTCTGCATATGGATTTCTGAGGCCAGAGGGATCATTAGCTCATCTCATCTGACCCTATTGGTAACAGAGGCAAGAAAACTTCACCCTATGTCCCCTGAGAGACCAGCAAACTGTATGTGTCCAACACCACAACAGCGTTCAGCCCCACTCTAAAGACATAAGGATCAGGGCTTTCCCCCTCTCTTGGGGAACATGTTCCAGAGGCTAATCAGTTCCACACTTAGAAATCTGTTTTCAGTTTGAATTTCTCTGGCTTCAGCTTCTAGACCTTGGGGTTTTTTGTTGGTTTGGTTTTTTGTTTTGTTTTTTTTTTTTTCATTTTGCCTTTTCTAGTCTCAAGGCTACATACTTGTTTTGTCTGAGGGACTCTCAGAATGACTTGAGAGCAAGTAGCTTATAAAACAGGGAGATGCTCACCAGGAGCTAGGACTGCCCTTCGTTGTGTAGCATCACAGCAGCTCCCAGGTAACATCCTCAACGGTAATATCCCCAGATGGTCCCAAGAAGCAAGGACATTTCCCATGCTGTCTTCTGACCTATACCACACCAGGGCCTAATAAATCCAGTCCATAATCAGCATCAGAATGGCTGAGGCCATAAATGTAGCAGATTTCCTTCAGCTTGCTACTATTGGAAAGCTGCCTATGAAAAGAGCTAGATGTGCTAGTAAGGTGAGTTCACCTCTAATTCCTAGGCAGTTCGCATATACATTGATATGATGCTTTGCTGAGGAATTAAGAACCAAAACTTTCACATTCAACAGAAAAGACCTGATGAAAGGCACAGCAAAATGCTCCACAAAACATGAGGTCTTTCCTTAATGTGTCATTTTGTAGCTATTTATTCCCAGTGGCCTGGGAATCTCTGATTGACTATCTGCACTCACAATTACCTGCTCAGTTTTTGATAATCTCTTACTAAATCACTGCTGGATTTGCAAAGGGATCGTTACTCATCTGAGTTTCTTTTTTCCATTTTTTGCATGTCTTTTGTCTTGTGTCAATTTGGCCAAGAAATATTTATTGAATAAGAAGCTTGGTAAGGCTCAAGCACTGTTCCACCGTTATATGAAATTATCCCTAACCTTTGCTCCAGCCAGAGATGTACATGGTGCTGGGATTCACTTGTGTTTTTGCAGTGGATGAATGGAGCAGGACTGGCAGGGCAGCTGTGGAGGGTACAAGATGACCTGAGGAAACACTTTCCCTCTGCCACGGGTACTCAGAGGTGGGGGAGGGCACTGACAAAAGCCAGGTTTCAACTCATGGTTTTGAAACTCACAGCAAATTCCCTGCAACATCATCCAAGCTAGGATTATATCTCCAGGACCTCAGTCCAGTCCTACAAGCCTCTAAAACTATTCCCCACCTCCAAACTGCAGGTTGACCCTGCTATGCCCCAGAAAAAACAGCCCGAAGGAGGGTGCTGTTCATCACATCTGCTCTTTTGTCAAATGCATCCCCCGAAGCCCCTCAGGCTCTTCAGAGAACCTCATCACTTCCCCAGTACAGACAACGATGACATCCCTGTTTCTGCAGCAAAACCAGATCAGTTTCCAGTTCTACTGAAGTCAACCTGCTGCAGAAGACAAGCTGGGGAAAAAAAAAAAAAAAAAGTTTAAAAAAGTTTGGGTTTCTGCTTAGAGAGCAAATGGTTAAGCTTTTGTTAAGCCTTTCCTTTTGAAGATGGCACATTTCAATCTTCTAGGCTGCTGCTCCCTGCCAAACCCTGTGGTTTCCTTGAGAGTCTGATCCCATGGGGCTACAAGAAGCATCCTTGAAACTGGACACTTAAACTATATCTGAATGGTTTTTCTGATGTGAAGCTTTTAGCTGTTTGTGAGGAAGAAAAAAATCAGAAGCAAGTAACAATTTCATTTAGATAGACATTTTTATTAAGAAAATTTTAAGTACATACACATTTATGGGAGAAATTACAACAATATAAAAGGGTTTATTTTAAAAATATGAAAGGAGTAATTTCAAAAGCATAATATAACTCCTCCAAAAAAGCTGCCTTACAGGAACACAAATACAAAACCCTTTTCACATTATTTGGGAAGATATTTCTTTTTACTTAATAAAAATATAAAGTACAGTATTTACCACAATCTGACAACACTGAGTTCTTAAGAATTGGAAGACAGGAGGTTCATGCAGCCCTTTCATCATGATACATGTTTTCTTCTCTGTGGCCACCAGTTTCATGTTTGCAGACAAGGCTTGTCTTGGTGGGATGTTGGTAAAGAAAAAAAGCCAGATTTTAGGTGACTTCTCAGAAACCTCTGGCTACTATAAATCACAGCACTCAAAACAAGTTGCCAGAGAAAAGAAGAACCCTCTAGATGCTAATGAAGGGGAAATAGCAACAAAAACTTCTATAGGAACTGCATTTTCAACGAAATGTTTATATTTAACTTCCAATATAGCCTTCATTGCAAAATGAACAGTCACCTTTGCTCAAACACCTTAGTTAAAAACACATCAGAAAGTCACCTTTCATCCTTCCTCAGGCAGAATTCAGATAAGATATTCATACATACAAGTATAAAGCTAGTATAAATAAAAATTGGCACAGCAATAAATACCATCTATTCTTTAAAAAAAAATATTCAACCTTAGGATTTGCCAGCTGCACATTGAAAATACCACGTGATGATTTCACATTTACGGAAGCTGCTTTTTCAGCACCAGTTCAGTGTTCTCTTTCCCCTCCTCTTGATGTGTGGTCCCTACATCACTCCTATCTCCCCATGCTTCCGTTCCCTGATTCAGTCTTTGGTCAACAGTTACAGGCAGAAAGGAAAATGAAGTGTTCTCCCAGAGCAGGTTTCTGCTAGTGCTGCTTCTCAGCCTGAGACTATGGTGTGCACAGGAGAGGAACAGCATGTGATGCACAGGGTAGCACAGGGAAGTTGGGGCAGCCGAGTAATTGACTTCTCTAGTGTGAAGGGCATGGATGCTCTTTCCAATGTGTCATGCAAGAAGCAAAGCTTCCTGCTCAAGGTTGAATTTTGGTTTAAAGCGGGAGAAAGCTTTTATCAGGTTCTCACTTAATTTACTTGGTTACATTATTCAGTTAATCCTGGCCGGGTCTGTGCCACCCCTGTATTCATGCTGTGTTCAACCTTGCCCAGGTGAGGGAGGGTGTTGGTGCCCAAGATCAGCCCCATGCCCTGAGTGGTCTCAGCTACACAAGTAGTGAATTGTCACCAGCGCAGCGATGTCAGGGCCCAGGTCACAGTGTGAGTCTCAAGGAATGCCAGGGGCAGACAGCCCACAGGCACACAGACAACCACCACCTGACTGTCAATGTTCCCTAGCCTTGCAGGGAGTCCCTTTCCTTCCCACTGCTACTCATGCATTTCTCCCAGGAGCAAAAAGCCCTTCCTTTAGCACAGTCTACCCTTGCAACACTCACTAGTGTGCCCCCAGAAGAGAAGGTTAACAGGTAACCCCATTTCCTGCAGTAACTCTGGCACCTGGCTGTACTGTCCAGAGCTAGGACCCCAGGGTTTGGCTGGGGTGCTCCAGCACTGCCCATCTCAGTGCCTCTGTCAAAGTGGTCTGTTTTCCCAGGCTGTAATGTGAGGAGGTTGGCATGTCCCCAGACACCTTTCCCTGCTGGTGCTGACTGCAGATTCACTCCCTGTTAACAAGGACTGCAGCAGAGCGCTGGCAAGGCTGTAGTCACATCTACCTACCCTATCTTTTCACTGGAGAGAAAATATTTCCGCTAGAAACAAAATCTTCATGGCCCCTATCATCATTAGCAAGGTATGCTGCTGAATCAAAATCAGAGGAATATTTAATTATCTGTTTACTCCAATAGAAATCGATCAGACCTGAAGCTGTCCTTTGATGGGAAGCATGTGTGAAGAATGCACCTTCCTGCATGAGAAGGACAAGCTCCAGGTCTGTATCAGAACCAAGATTCGACATTTTGTCCAAAGACAGACATTCTTGGCTTTGACACTCACATGTCTGCCTCTGACAAACTACTAGCAATTGCAGGTGCATGTATGGGGACAGGAGATGGACCCTAGGATATAAAGTACAGTCTGGGGAAGATATAAGAAACTAATTTTCTCATAAAAGTTCTGTCTGTCTTTACACTTACAGTGTCTTACAGAGGATCTGACCTTTCTCACGCTAAATCAATACCCAATTCTCATCAAGTACAGTGGTATCAGACCTTTCAAAAAAGAGACACAATATACTTAAAATCACCACACTGGCAATGATAACAATAGAAGGAATGTAAAAATCACACAGACATACATTTTAGGCACAGCAGTTGATTTCTACTTTAGAGCAAATGAGGTGATGTGGTCCCAGCTGAAGCACTCTCCGTAATAGCACTGTTTCACAGAGAGGAAAATACAAGATTTTTACCTGAATCCACATGGAAATAAGGCAGTCCCTGGCTAGCCAAAGCATCTCTTTGGCACTAAAGATGCCTGCCACAAAAAGGAGAGCTTAGTGAAACACCCCCCTCAGTATTCCCAACACAGGCTGCAGGGAATAAAGAAGATTTCTTCCGAAGCAACCGGCTCAAAATCAACCCCCACAATCTTAGATTTTTTTGTTTACAATACACACAGATACATACAAACACAAGCACTGTGCTGCACAAATTTGCTTCTGCCCAGATCCCAGTGCACAGTAAAACATTATTGCAGTACTGCAGGTGTTTTTCAATACACTATATAGCAAAGATATCGTGTATATAGGTAAGAATTGGGAGAAAAACATTTCTGACTGAGGGGATTGGTGCAACATGTGGTACCTGTCCCTGGGTGTACTTTGCAAAGGAAATTACAGAGGCTATCCTGTTCACCAGCAAACAGGGCCACGACCATTGGTGAACAATGAGCACTAGCCTTCATTTTCACACCCAAGATACACCACTCCTTCCACAAATTGGTCAGACCCTCTCTTGCCCCAGGCATCTCTTCTCCAAAGATATGGCCAGACATCCTCTTCTAGGTATCTCTGGAGCAATCAAAGATGGTACTGCTCTCAGGTACATGTGACTGTTCAATAGTCGAGGCCACAGCTTCCTTGGTGAAAGGTCACGTGAATGCATCTCTGCCTACTTCAGTGCAAAATTAGCCAGGCGAGCTGAAGCCACCTCCTGTGTCTGGGTGGGAAGAGACACCTGGTGCATGGCAGCATATCTGACTCCTCCAACTTGCAACATGATCTTGTGGTGAGACCTTTAATAAACCATTCTTTTTTGTGCTAGAATTTGTCATCAGAAGCACAAGAACATAGGAAATGACAGGTGACATCAGATCAGTGTTGTGGCTCCTAATATAACTACTACAAATCAAGTACTAGCACCTTGTAATACACCAAATGTACATTGACCCAGTTGCTCATAGCTGTCACCAAGGTCTCTAATCTTCAGAGAAGGGCTTTAGCCCTGTAGCCCCGAGTTTAATCTCTCACCCAAAATACCTATAAATGCCACCCATGGTAATGTTGTCCACTTTCATCAATGTCTGATGCCTTTTAGCCTTCCTATGTTCTTTGCCTTGGTGACTTCTGGAAGCAATGAGTTCCTCCACTACTTACACAACATCATTGCACTGTACAGTTCATGTCCTTCTAGGTTTAAAACTCCAGACTTGCATGAACCAAAAGAAAGTTAAATAAAGCAGGACCTCTACATAGCAAAGGAAATAAAATATTATGTAATAACATAGGGTTAGTTTAAATTCATATCTGCCCTCAGTGCCAGGTAATAAACATATTTTTTCATAAAAATATGTTTATTTTTATGTATAAAAACATCTTTTTCTCAAATAGTTACATCTTACTATATAAAAATAGCACTGTGAAAGCAAGCCAATTTGTGCAAAAAAAAAAAAACAAACCCAACCCACAAAAAAACCCAAACCCAAACATAAAAAACCTTTGGAAATGTATGAAGCGTTGCTTTTGTGCTGCACGGTAATAGTGAAATGTATTCATTCCCTAATACTGGTTATCTGCTCTCTGGGTCCTACAGTAAGAAATCCTGTAGACGGCTTACAATGCTTGCCTCTTACATCTTGAACCTCCTGTTGATGAAGAACAGAGTGAAACACTATTAAGGTTTATTTCAGTTGCAAAAGCTTTGATATCAGGCCTAGTCAAACAGCAAATCTGTGTCTGGATTAACCAAAGGCATTTTGCAGCCCCTCCAACCAGTATTTGCCAAACATTTTGGGGGAAGTTCTCCACAAGCAGCTACTAGGTACCCAGCAGGGCAAACCCAGTAATGGGAGTTATTTTGGGCAGGTTGTGCTCATCACAGTTAGTAAGGTGTTCAGAGCTAACATAGAAGGAAGGCTGGCTAGGAAGCTTATTCTGGACTAGAAAGCCAGAGCAGGGAATTATCAGTGGGCAAAGACAATTGGTTAAAAAAAAAAAAAAAAAAAAAAAAAAGTGAGCAGCCCCAGTAGTGGAGCAAATGCACTGATAATGTCTCCTCTACCTACCCCTACCCTACAGCTCTGCTGGAGATCACGGACAGCTCCACAGGGTTCCAGATCTCTGTGAATGGGGGAACAGAGCACAGCCCATGCTCTGCTCTTGTTGGTGTTTAGCTCGCACCATAGTGTGGCTAAAAAGCGAGGCCCCTGAGTGTGCTGCCCAGCCAGGAGCCATCCCCATGGCCTCCCTGCTCTGGAACCTCACCTGCTGTGAGCTGCTGGGTAGCACATCACAGCTTGTGGTGACCAGTTGCCCTGTGAAGGTGGGATGATGGGGAGGACGAGCAGCCACACGCTGTACAGTAAATGTGTGAGGTGTTAAGTGCAGAGGTAGGGAGTTCAGGGTAGGAGACAGAAAAATCAAGTCTCCCATGCTCAGTGTGAGCATGGTACCCAGGGGGAGTGGTGTGTTAGGCATCACAGCAAGGTACAAGTGTATTGTGTGCAGGGTTCACTCGGAATAAGGAGCCAGTCTGTGCTGGTGGCCTCCAGGGTTTGTCTGAAGTGACCCCTACTCCTGCTCCAGACTGACTGGCCTTTTGCAATCTAGATGAGGTCACTAAGGCTCAGTTACAAGTGTCAGAGAGTAAACACCAGGTATTCAAAACCCCTGCTGTCCCAGCATGTCTTGTCTAGCCTACAGGATCAGAACAAACATCCCTTTCAATGCCTGCTGGACAGCTAAGACTGTGTGACCACAGTCAGACACAGCTGTGGCTACTCTCAGTGAGGGTAGCCTTGGAAAATTCATCCAGGTATAAAGAGGATGACTAAGCCATGAGCAAAATTTTCCTCTCTGAAGATATCTTTTCCAATATCCCAACACCTACCGGTGCAGGCAGGCAGGACACACCATCCTGGTAGGAAAAAACCTGGGACATCCAGAGCATTGGTGTATGTAACACCATTCTCTGGGACTTGCTGAGCATCTCCCATAGGAGAGGTGTCAACCAGTCACCAACACAGCAAATCATGTTGTCACCACCCAGCATTTCACTTGTCATTTGTCAAAAAAAACAGTGACAAATTCACAGCTGTTATTTACAGTTTAACTCTGTCAGTTTGGTATTGCAGGAATATGGCCAGCTAAAAGAAATAGAGCTTCCAAAACCTTTACCATGTTTTGACTTTGGCTTTGCTTCGGGGTTATTTTGGCCTCTTTGGGTGTCCATTTTCCCATCTGTAAAATGAGAAAACTTTCCCCTTTGAAGGGAGAGTACAGATGTTATCCCTCAACAAATATGGGAAAAAATGGAAGTCTGGATAGGCTAATATATTTGCCGAAGGTCACATAAGATGGTCAGTGTAAGAGCAGGGACTTGAATCTGAGGTATCCCAGCTCAGAAACTAATGCCTCCTACCATTCTTTCTCCCTGGAGACTTTAGTGGTGTTGCACGGGAAGGGCAGAGTGGGCCCCGTTTCTTCTGTTGCTTTTTTTTATGAGTGCGATGACGTGGTCTAAATTAAAAGAAAAATACAAAAAGACTGCCATAAATTATTCATATACAAAGGCCTTATTCACATTTATCCCATGGTCCCTTCACATCCTGCTGGCAGGGTGCAAACCAAGGTAACATGCCCTTTCATATACCCTCTGCCTCAGAGGAATGCTAGGCAAATGGAAGTTCCCTGGTGACAGGACATTTACAAATTCTGAGGCCAGAACAACTCTTTTCCCCAAAACACCAAAGTCTCCCCAAATGCCTGCCAGAACTTGTCAGCCAGGAGCCTCACCATCCACATAGTAGACCCCAAGGTACAACTGAAAGCAGAGGGTGGATGGATTTCTGGCTTCCCACCCAGCATTCCAACTGACATCAATCAACAAGAACTGGTGGTTACTCTATGGAATTTGTGGACATTTAGTGCCTTAAAACAAGGTTGTAAAGGTAGTCACCTACATTGTCCTCCACTGTGTGGGGCATTCACCCAGCACAGGCTTAGTAGAGTACCAGGAGGTAGTTGTTTTGGCATGTTGTACTTCAGCCCTTATTTACAAATGAGGTCAGAAACTAGGACGAGCAGTCACACCAGGGTTTACAAATGCTGTGTAGGAAGGCAACAGCAGGACTTGGCTCCCATCACAGTCAGCTCCTAGAAGCTGGGAGTTTCCTTTCCTTTCTCCCAGCAGTCTTTCTATTTGACTTTTCTATCTTTTCCAGATCCATCAGTTCTCTCGTCTGTGCCAGAAGTAGCCACTGAGCTTAATGAACTCCAGCATCTCAGACTAAGGGAAGCTCTGAGGTGGGACTGTATTAACATGACAGCAGACAAGCTGGTGTCTGTTTATTTTGGGCTCTGATAACTCTGCAAGGGTCTGATCTTGCATATCCTTGCATTAAGGAAGAAGAAGGCAGTCAATGTACTGCAAATTATGACAGGGATTGCCTGGAAGTGATACAGGATTTGTTAATTATTTCAAGAAAGGACTGATTTGCCCCTTGCCTATAACATGGATGAACGTTGAATGATGTTGGCCACAGCAGCTGCGCAATGATTTTTAAAGCCAGTTAAGAAATTTGGATTCTTGATAGCTTGAATGTATTTTACAGATGTCTCATAAGTGTGTATATTACATGGAGATGTGATGAATATAAAGCAATAATAAAGGCTAAGCAGAATTAGTGATCAAAATAACTCCCTACTAAAAGCCATCTCTGGTTTCACAATCAACTGTATCAGACTACTATATTCTATGACTTTTTCTTTGCCCTTAGCTGCAGATGACAGCACAGAAGATACTCTCATATTGAAGCACTGGTATAGATTAAGATGTCTTGACAGTTTGGATTTCACTTAAGCAATTACAAGAGCCCTTTCTACAAAACGTATTGATTTTATTCCAGAAAAATAAATTCCCATGTACAATTGGGTTTTCATAACATGAAACAATTAGCCATTTTATTGCTAGTGCATATAGGGTAATGTCACATTTCATACAATTTCAGTACAAGTGAAAAAATATAATATATGGCTGATTGAAATTGATAGCTACATTAACATTTATAGATCTATATATATTTATTTTACAAGCTGTTAGTAGTTTAGAGGGATATCGGTGTTTTAAACTACCAACATTCATATGGCTCCAATTCAAATATATGAATTGTTTGATGCACTATAAATATATTCCAAAGTACATTTCACTGAAGAAGTCAGAGCTGTGCACTAAAATATATCAAAAACATGCTTTGTGAAAATGCTGCAGACAGAGTTCTGACTGTCTGTGAAGCATGAAAATGCCACCGGTGCTAGCATTACTAGTTGGAAAATGAAAACAATGCCATGATTACAGGATTAGGTGCTGGAGATATATGCTTTCTTTCATTTTATTTCACAGAGCTGGGACCAAATTCTCTTCTGTTACTCAATGCAAACCATGATGAAATCCACCAAATTAGTAGAATTGCTTATAGATTAGCACTAGGTAAACAAGACCCAGAATCTGGCTGGAGATCAGGCATGGGCTCACTGGTTTCAGTAGAGCTGGCCCCAGATCTTCACTAGCGGAAGTGAGAGCAGAACATGTTCCAGCTGAGTTGTTCCCCTAAGTGAGGCAGGCAGGATCTGAGCACATAGTCACATTTGCCCAACCCTACAAATTTCTTAAATGCCTCCTAAGTTTCAGGTCTTATGAACAGCACCAAGAACTTCATTGGGGATGACAGCAAACAGAAACTTAGGCAGGGGCTTGAGGATTTTCCCACGTTGGAAAACAAAGTAGCTCAAGCCCCTAGGAGAGTCAGCATGGACCACATCCTGCTCTTGGATTCAGTTGTGCCTAAATTCAAAACCATCCTGGCACCATTAACCTGGATTATCCTGCAGAGAATTTGCCCAAAGGACAAAGGGGCTGAGCAGTGGCAGCAAAGAAGGCACTGAGCATTGGATGAGATGGGAAGAGCTGTCAGGGCTGGAATCACAGTCAGTTTGTTAGCTGGCTTCCTTCCCTCCTCACTCTTGGCCCCAGTGTGGTCTTGAAAGGGCCACATGGAGCAATCTCTCTGCTTATGGATTTTTGCATTTTCCCCCTCTGCTTATTGTAAAAACACAGGGGAACAAAGACTTTTTTTTTTTAAACTCTACTTGTTGTTTGGCAAATGCATTTACAAATCAAACAGTGGAGGGCATTCAGCTACCTGTACTGCCTCACATCTCCCCTGAGGCAATACCCTTCCCCACATTTCTCCAAGAATGCATTGCTTTTGCAAATGACTGGATTCCAGCCCTGCTTTTACCCTACAGATGCAGGGGGAGTAAAGGTTCAGTGGTTACTGAGGGGTGGGAATGTGGTGAGAGGGATACTGAGTGCACAGGTAGGCTTGCTGGCCAAAATGCTGCTGTTGGATCAGGCACAGCCCAGGGCTCTAGGCAAGAAAGGAAATTCTTTGTACCATCACTTGTCTCATCTTCCATCCCAGAAGGCTGGAGCCCTGCCCTGCAATTCAGCACAGAAATGTTCTCTGTGCTGCTCTTGCTCACCGTAAAATTGAACTGAGACAGGCTGGGTCCACCTCAGAGTAGCCAGGATCACCCACTTTCAAGGGGAATAAAAATAGATTTAAAAAGTCTGAATTTGCCAAGTATGGTTGGTTTTCCCCTGGCCTTGTGGGAGACCCTTATTCATGGCAGCGCATCTCGCCTTGGCTGATATTAATAGCACTCTACACTGCCCAGCAGAGAAACAATTTTTAGTGCCAAGACCCCCTAGGCCTCAGCTGCCTGTGCAAACAGACCCCCACAGTGTAACATGGAGAGGGGCTCCAAAGAAACTGGAACAATATAAATTCTGAAGTAATTGTAGTTTGGCTTGGGGAAGAGGGGGCATAAAGGAAGCCTTTTCCTTGGGAGAACGACTTTTTTTTAAAAGAGGATGAGCTGGGTACCCCAGAACAGATTCATAAGGATAGATTTTGCCTCACATTTAGAATATACTAGAAGCTGTTGTTTTCATACAGACTAGGTCAACTCCAAACCCATCTTCAAAGCAATATCTGATTCCATGAGTACTTTGTCCACATGGTAAAAGCCAGCCCTTAATGTTCTACCCTTTAATAACTCAGGATGTTAGGTGTTAAGTCCATTTGTCGCTTGTCTTACTTGTTTAAAGCTTTTTCCAGATACTCCTGGATCCACTTTAACTTGGGATCAATGCACACTTGCTTGCTGTTGCTCTTGAGCCTTGCACTGCCAAAGGAGAAAAGTCAGAGTGAGTCTAGTGTGTAACTGCTCCTCAGCCCACACCCACTACCCACCCCCAGATGCTTTATTTTCCTTGGGTGCCGGTCCTGCTCTCAGTTAACCCATGAAGAGCATGGGTTGTCCCTGCCATCCTCAAGGCACTATGATAAATACCACTGGTTTCAAAGCACTGGTACCATCTGTCTCCTCTGATGTGGATTCTTGCAGTCTGTACTGGGATGCATGTAGGGGCAGGATAGATAGAGAGTTTGAATCTAAGTTTTCCAATTCATACCTGGGCTGTTATGAGTTCAGTGCCAACAACAGCTAAATTTGATTTGGAAATACTGACATGGTAAATACAGGTCATTTTTGCAAAGAACAGCTTTAAGATTCAACCCAAAATTGAAATTTGACATGTTTTGAGAACAGGCATGAAACCATACCTCTTGTGTGTTCTGAAAGGGTTTGGTCACTCTTGGCTTTCTGTTTTATACAAGACTGAACTAACAGGTTGATGGCAAGAAAACAACTGGAAGTACCATAGTGCCAGAGGCAAGTTCTCCCTCATGTATTCACTCAGCACTAGAAAACAAAAGCAAAAACCTCCTGAGGGATTTTCTCCTGGATGTCCAAGCTGCACTTCCCTGTTTAGCTGATTTGACTTCTCTGTGAATATGGCATTTGGGCTATCTGCATCTTTCATACAGAAGCAGTAGAAATAGTTTTTCACCCGCATCGGCAGGTCTCACCCTTCAGGCATCTCAGGGCCTCTTTGAGAGTGCTGTGATCTCCTATGTTCCCTGAAGCACCCTGCCTCTGCCCCAGCTGCTCAGAAATTTCCCCTTAAACAGGCTGCCTGCCATGCAAAAGTGCCAAGAGCAGCAATTTCATGGAAATGCCCATAGGAATAAGTTCAGTATTTGTTTAAGCATTTTGCTGGATGGAAGCCAAAATGTTTCCCACTTTGTAAAATGAAATCTGCAGAATATAAAACTATGGCGTAAGAAATAACAGGTCAAAAAGGCTCCCTGGTCTGAAGTTATGCAAGAACACAGCTGTAACATAAACACATCGAAGAGCCAGTCTTGCAAGCCCTGCGCCAATAAAGAGATGAATGGGCCCAATTCATATTTCCTTACAGCAGTGCCAAGCTGGAGTATTTCCAGTGAAGTGATACCAACAGAGAGTAAGAATGGAACTGCTGATGTTAGCAATGCCTGGGAACTCGCAGGGTATGGAACCAAAAGCATAGGTAACTAGCCTCCAGCCACATGCAATGCAGTCCCTCTCACCTCATATTAAGACGTTTAGTTTTTAGAACATTTCTGAGCCTGTCAGCCCTTGCTCCTTGTACAGTCACAGCAGAGACTTAGGCAATTGTATGGAGTGTTAAATCTGAACTGTGTTAGATGTCTACTTTAGGATGCAATTAATTGCATGCTAAAAATGCCTATTTTCCTGTACTGAAAACCAGAGAATTAATTTAGGGTGGGCTTTCTAGAAGTAGACATGCAAAGAAAAGATTTTCTAGATTTGAAGAGATGACATCCAATAGAAAAGCCTGCTCTTAGGCTTTTTGTTCAGGTATAATTTCCCTCAACCATAAAGGGTGCAAAAAAACAAAAAACCCCTTTCCTTGAAGCTACATGATTTTACTGAGATTCTCTGTTCCTAAAAATGGTAGTTTTAAAGTTACCTACACTTTCACTGTATAAAGCTTATCCACTAAATGCAGAGTATGCTAAAAATCAAGATGAGAAATTTATGTTAATTTTGGTTCCATTTCAGCTTCTTCATTAAAGACCTAATTCAAACCCATGATGCTTCCGGGGTATTTGGAGGCGAGTTTTTAAGTACCTTTAAAGTAACAAAAGATGGTGAATTACAACAAAAGATGGTGAATTACAGGTTCATGTTTTCTGTGTGCCACCAAATCACATTGGAAACACACACATTTGTGTCAGGAATGGACCAGAACATGAACTGTTTAGTTTCTGCATTTGATGCTCTTACCTATATCTAATGACTACGATCCCATGTTAATTAAGAGATAAATGTATATTCTATCCTTTCTTAAATGCCTGTCTTTTCTTGGAACTACTCCAGAAAATTCCAAATCCTCTACAAAGCCTTAGTACTGGGACCCTTATGACATCCATTAACAGTCCCAGAGTACAAATCCATACACTACTGCATTTTGGATGCTTGCCTCCAAAACTGTTTAGAGGTCAGAGTTAGTCACAGCTGGTTTTACCATTTTTGTGAAAGGAAATTATTTGTCAGCTGAGGGTTATATTTTTCTCACTGTCCTCCTCCACCAAATCCTAAGGCAGAAGCATGCATGAGAAAATTTGTATGATCTACCTAGAGTGATTTAAAAAAGAAAAAAATCATATGAATATAAACTGGATCATGAATGGATACATGCTCTTCAACATATCTGTACACTCCTGAGAAATCTCATGAAACCACATCAGTTTTCTGAGTGCAGAAATGTTTTGGATGACAAATAATGGATTTCTACAGCATTTGAGTTGCAACTGGAAGAGCCTGACATGAATAGAAGACAGATCTAGTGATGGGAGCACTGCACAGAAACCCAATCTAATCACTGAGACCCTCTTGCAGAGGTCAGCAGAAGTTGATAGTAGTAAGGCTCCCTTGCAATGAAAAGATGAATGCTATTTTTTCTCTTCTGAAGAATTTGAAGTTGGGAGAGGAGGGAGAGCATAACCAATGAACAAATGAACCAAAAGGACCTTCCTAAAAACACACACATGCAAATCTACAACCCCATTTTTTCCTGAAAATAAGTGTTTCTTTTTCATCAGAAATGAAGAGGTTATTTTTCTGTTGGGAATCCATCATTTCTGTCTTGCTGTGATCTGTGATTTAGTGGAGTCAGTCACTGCCTGTTAAGTGTGTCCCTAGATCAGGCCAGCATGTTTAGGGTCTGTACCTCCTGTGGAGTCTACAGGAAATCCAGGAATTCCTTTTTGCTTATTTAGCTCCTCTTTATGGAGAAGTGGAGCATTAGAAGACTCAGACCACTGTAGTCTTTCCCCCAAGGTGTGAAGCTCCACATCCAAGGCAATGGACAGCCTGTCTGACATTCCTTCTCACATACCCAATGGGGGAACAGGACATGGGGTCATAGTAACAGGCAGATCACAGAGGTAGAACACAGTTGGAAAGCATCTAACTGGGCTACTTTGTGTGGGGTAAAGCAGGATCCGGCTGTATCTGACATGTGGGGTGAAGAGACAAATTGGAAATCATGGCATGAGACAGAATTGCAGCCACCAAATCAGGAACCAGCTGTGTTACTTTTCTTTTTGACACCTGAGATTTATACCCAGCTGGAAAGCGTGACTTACACAATCTGAAGTGAGCAGTTGGGTGTTGAGAGGATTTTGAGGTGCTTGATGTTGGCTCTTGCCACGTTGCTCTCGTAGAATCGACAGGGGCATCGGTAAGTCAGGCTGACAGGTTTCTCTGCAGGACACGGGAGAGAAAGGACACGTTACTCCATCTTGCTCCCAGTCAGCAGCACAGATACACAGACCAGGGCCGACAGAAACTCTTTTCAAATATGCAGGTGAAAAAAGGCATAGAAAAGCTGTAGCTTTGGGAGGGCATTTGCCCACAGCTCACAGCACAATCATTTTACCCAGCCTTTCAATAACAGTGCGCGGGATTTTGGAAGACAAAAGAGGGGCACAAAATGGAGATAAGTAAAGAAGAAGAGATTAGAATAAGGAGCCGCTCCATTGTGCAGGGATGCTCCTGGTAATTAGACAAGATAAAGGCCAAAAGAGGGGGCACTTGTCCTCAGTGTTGTTCTTGTCAAATGATTTTGACCCGAGGCCAAATTAGAAGGTAGCCAGAAGAAAGCGATGAATTCCAAAGAGTTCAGATCAAAACCGCTCGGCTCAGGTGCAGGATTTTTTCACGGGGGACTTACTGGCTACAGAAAAGCCCTGAGTCTTTCAGGCTTTCCCAGGGCCCAGCGGCTGACCTTTCCACTACTGCCAACCTTTACTCCCAGTCGAGATATTCGCACAAGGAGGTGCGACTCGGAGATGCGAGATCACACTGGTTTGGCAGGAGAGATTTGGAGTCTTTTGAACCCCCAGCCTGTGGCAAAGTAAAAGCGATCGAGCAGTTACCAGACAGTGCACTCTCCATATACTAACCAGGGACCACCAGACTGGATGAGAGGTTTGTCGCCGGCATCACTAGGGACAGAATTAAGTTTAGCTCCCTAGGCTAAAAATCATCCATGTATATGCATGCAGAACAGAGAAAAGCAGCCTGGCGCTTGCTCACCACAGCCTCTGATGCAGTTCTGCTACCTGACTTCTCCATGGGAGAGCTTAATTACTGGCAAACAAGTGCACATAAATAAGGTCCTCACTCTGTGCGGAAGCCTCAAAGCTTCAAAGCTCCGTGCACGCTAAAATACAAACACAGAAGTCTTGCCTGGAAGTCTAGAAAGAGCTTCCTAAGATTTTAAACAATTTCCCAGTGGAGCGGTATTCAGCCTCTGGGAGGAATTAAATTCATATACCTAACCCATAAGGTCTGGCTCATGCTGTAGATGGTCAGATCTACATTTGACAGGGCTTTAGATTCAACATGGCAAACTGCCGTCCTGTTTATTTAGCCACACAGGAGCACTCGCAGCATCCAAACCCAGTTTGCTTAAAGGCAGATGGAGAGCTAAAAAGCAGGGAAAGGCTTGGAATCCCTAAAATGCCATCTAGGAAGGTGAGAAAAGAGACAGCTTTTCAAAGTGCATCTGATCTGCATATATTGCACATATAGTAATGCCTGTCCCTAGCACATAGAACCACAGACAACAGGATGAAATTACCCTGTTCTCGGGAGGGAAAGCCCTGTCTTCCAAGTGCCTTCACCAAGAGACGAGCCAGAATCAGATTCCACAGGCAGGCTGGGCAAGCAGAAAGGAATTCATCAGTGTAAGCAGAGTTGTTCCAGATTCACACTAGGATCCGGACTGTAAGTTAACAAAATTTGAGGCCTTTTTCTATCAGTTTTATAGGAGTCCAAACAGTGATACAATCTATGAGTTAAAAATGGAAGTAGCTCCCATCTGCAGGGGGAGGAGGAAGGCAGGCTGCAGGGTGAGCCCCCTGAACATGCACTAGACTGACTAGTATGCATGTGGAAGGGAGGGAGAAAGGCGCTAGGATTTCCCACTACAAATCTGTGCCTGATAGCTACACATCAGTGAGTCTGTATTGGAAAAGGAGGCTGAAATTGAATGCAGTCAATGCAACACACAGCACAGCTGCAGTGGAAGTGTCTCTTCAACCTTGTATCAACCAAGTTTAAGCAAGCTTTATCCTAAACAACACACAAGAGATGAACTGTCCAGATCTATGATTTGAGAAAGCAATCCTGTCCTGAGACTGGAAGAGGGACTTTCAATCCCATACATACCACCTGAAATCAGGAGCAGAGAAAGTTTAACTGTGACTAACATGTCTGTGAGCCCAAAAGTTTTTTCCTGCTCAAGAAAGGGCATCCAGCACAGAAAGGAAGAGGGGAAGCCCCAGCACTTGATGTTCTTCTGTCACCCCCAGTGCCAACACACCTCCCAGCACAAGAATCCCTTTGGTGTTTCTGTGCCCCTTGCTTGGCGATCCGCAGCAGGCACTGAGCACCAGGGAGCAGCAGCACAGGCACCAACCGGGTCAGCTCTCAGCATCTCTAACAGGGAACCAGTATCTCCTGCCACTGCCCCTCCAGCACTCTAGGTTGGCTGTGGCTCACTCTGCTCTCAGAAAGGCTGAAATCCAAGGAAAACTCGTGTATGTGGCATCTTCCGACACATGAACTCTTATCATCATAAAGTAGGAGGGGGAAGGGGTCATTTGGGGGCAATGATTTGGGAAGGGGACATTTCTGGTCTTCCCTATCTCATTTCAAAATTCAAAACAAATTTTTCCATGCACAGTAGAGCTGATTAAGCCAATTCTACAAATTTGTACTGCAAAGGTTAATTATCTGTGGGCACTCTGCTGTCTAATAAACGCTGAAGCCATTCTCTCAGAAGGACAAATTAGCATAGTCTGTTAATTGCACTATTACATGAAAACACCAGTTTTCATGAAACTGATGGTACATAGAACTTTTGAGACCTTTATCTGTCTGGCACATTTGATTAAAATGGGTGAATAAAGTCAAGTTTCAGAAGAGACAGACACTATTCAGACATCTCAGTGTCATCCCTTCAGCCTTATTTCCTTAGATAAAAAGAAAAACAGAACACTCATTTTGGTCTTGTCTAGAAGGGTCCAAAGGGTTCTTGGTTTGGGGGTTTTTAAAGTAATAAATAGTTTAACTGTTTTCTAACTCAAAGCTGAGTTTTGCTATGTCTGAACACCCACTTTTGCTGGCAAATTCTCTCCAGAGACAAAAGCACTCACAAAAATCTCCCTCATGGAGTGGCCACGTAGCAACGTTGGATGATACCTATTTCACCCCACAGGGATCTGCCCTGCCTCAACCATGCTGGAATAGGGCAGAAAGGGAAGTGAGTTACCAGTTCTGCTGTGAAGTTACCATCAGTAACTGGCTGCACGGGCTGGAAAGCTCTGGGCACTTGAATGGAGAAGGAAGCTATATCCAGGCAAGCAAGCCGGGCATGAACAAACAAAACATTTGATGGAAGCATCATTTTGCTCCTGTTCATCCAAGGGTGCATTTGTCAACATCAGGAGAGGGCTCGCAACTTTAACACTGGAACAGCTCCATTTCCCTGGAAAGTGAGGCTGTGATAGACAGATACAGCGCTACCAGGGTGGCTCGGAAGAATTCTGAGCTCACCTGCCTTCCAGGACAAGGTAGCCCTTAAAGCCCTCATCCGGATCAGCGTTGAAAGCAGTACATGACATGCAAAGATGTAGGCAGAAAACGTCACTCATCACTGGAAGCCGGTGAGGTCTCTCTCCTTACGCCACTTTTTCTATGAAAAAGCCGTTTCCTCACTCAGGTAGTAGGGTCCCGGACATGCTTACCCTGCTATAAAGATACCCGCTGCCGTTTGCTGTCAGGTAAAGGATGCTGCCGTGCAGGGCGAGGGCGAGGCCCCCGGGTTTGCCTTGGCTACTTGCGCCCTCGCTGCTC